GTGTGCGAACCCATCTAAACGAGAGCCTGTCTTGTTCATCAACCTTTCGCCTCAACCGTCCTATCGAACTGAACCGAATGCTATATCTCTGCAGACACCACGATCAATATGACGGAACTTTGCACCCCACCCATTGAGTTATGTCACTCGTGGGAATGTCCCATCGCATCATAATTCCTAGCGTTTCCGTCTCACCAGTTGCGTTTTGTCAGTTAACGAACTTTGTGAACTGATGCGCATTTAAAGGCTTTAGATCAGTCAACCATCCAACCAACTTACTACTTAGTTTTCTCCCTGAACGTTCAAATTTGCAATTTTCACTTTATTTGTCTACCACATGGGAAATCGACCTTTTGTATAGGAAATAGTTTGAAACCTTGGGAAGAGCTTGGTAAAAAAAACCGGTAGTTTTTAGGTAAGCAACTTAGGTGAAAGCTTAGTTGCCAAAAGATGTGTTCACTGTGCCAAGCGATGAACAAGGAATAAACTGAGGTGGCTGGGTCACAAGTACGCTGCGACAAACGTTTTAGTCCGCCAATGGGATAGTTAAAGGCATCCGTGGGTTATGATCCATAGCAAACTATTCTCAATGTTATCCGTCTGCCTACCTTAGCGATGCCCGACAAAGATGAAAATCACGTACTTTTAAGGTCATCCGAAAAATGAAGGCCACATTTTGGAACCCAGAAGCCTTACTGGTGAAATAGTCCAGGTTGGTTTGAGGCCAAAATGGACTACAAGCCAGTACAAATTGATCATACAGCAACCTCTGTGAGGGCCGCGACGGACACTTATGATAACGACGCAAAGATATAACCAACTTATAATCGTGTGAGTGTGGTTGATCACGTCACATGGTTAACACTTTCAGTCATACAAAAATAGAGACATCCATGCAGTGTTTCACATTTGTGTACCTTTCAATAAACCTACCTCCAGTCGACTGTGCCATGAGGAGGTATGTCACCTGATACACCTGTGACATAAGTTTTGGCCCATCAAAAATACTTGCGGACAATAATGTGTAGCTCGATTAATACGAGGATTTTGACTAGACCGCTCGACAGAGAGAAAGATTTATTTATCCAAGGTGTTGATCAATCGTGAAAGTTCAATTCAGTCCTGATGTTCGCGTTACATTTGCTGATGTTTTCAAGTGATTTACGTGTGTCGGAAAGGCGATCCAGCTGTCAACCGTCAGTTTCGCCTAAGACGTATCAAGGTGCGGTGCAGTTTCGGAAAAAAGTAAATTGTTTAGAAAAAGGATACGATCATGCTTTTGCCTACAGGTCTACCAGCAAATCTCCTACCAAAGTACGGAAACCTTCAAATCGGTATGGTAGTGACCCTACTCAGCGACCTCAAGACAGACTTTGTCATTAAAATTGGAGCATGGACAAACTCACCACGCGATATATTCTCTAAGTGAAACGAAGGGTCAAACTCTGTAGCACCCCGGAACACTTCCAGCCGTTGGTTGTCCTTATGGCTGATGATTTGTTCATTGCCTGCTCGTCATGACCTCAGTGATGGGGTTTTCCTCATGCTTTGAAAATTCATTGGCTAGGATATGTTCGTTGGTAGTTCACCAGGTAGTTGCCGGTTCTTTCGTCAAGTTTGCCACCCACCCTGTTGGGGCATTTCCAAGCCAATTTCCAAGCCCATCGACGAGCTTACCAGCCAGGCGACTGTTGAGGCTCGGTTGTCAGCACGACAACAAAAAACCACATATTTTAACCTAATAATCAACTTAGGAACGACCCAACTACTAACCTGCCATAACCTGTCATTTGTTTCATCATATCAGCTATGCCAAAAACATCTTGTTGCCTAGGCAATGTCATGCCATTGGATAACGATTGTTGATTTGCCTCTAAAAGTAAGACAGCGTCGACTAGTTGTCAAGGTAACTTTCAGAAATACCATAGACAAAAGGATTGTGAGATTACACTTATGTCCACAAAAGCAACATTTCCCACTAGAAAACCTAGGCTTCTAATCTGAACTGACCTCCCTGCAGAAGTATTCGTGGAAGTACGAAACATCCAGTACAATTGTTGACTGTCCTCAGCTCACAGGACATTGTGTTGCCCTAGCCATGGTGATAATTTACCGAGGGATCCACGCCTTTACAATCCACGTGACTCTCTTGGCATCCGTCCAATCGATAGCAGCGCACCACCCAGGAATCATCTGAGTGATCAATACAACTGTCCAGCAAGTAATTTATTTATTTTTTTGCGTTCAGAATCCCAGTATGTTTCGTTCGCTAAGATTTAAATACGCAGTAGTCTTCACAACTCATCACTGTCATTGAAGACAATTCATCTAAAAGGATCGCCTTGTTTTGAGCACAACAGAAGTTTTCAGTAAAATACTAGACCACAGAGAAAAGGCCAGTCGATTTCAAGAATAGTGACCCTCTCCATCATTAAAAGGGATGAAATGTTGCACTGTTTGAAACAAAACCTACACTATATTTGGAACGCACTACTCATAAGGTTGCTGAAAATTCGTTGACAGCCAATAACCGTTTTCGTCCTCCTTGGAGCTCATCAGGTAGGCGCAGTCCTCGAGTTTCCGTCGACCTTATGTTCTGCTTGAAACCAAATTGCACGAAATTAGTGAGTTTGCACTCATTTGCAAACTAATTTGGAAATATCACAAATGAGAGATTCAGCTGGGTTCCAGATGAGTCTCTCACAAAACCAAATTAGTTTGCAAATGAGTGTATATTCGATAAATTACACTGTTATCCAGAGTGATCACGGAGTGGTCGGTGTGTTGGGGTTGAAATCGGAAGTTACACAATGATGACTCATGAGATACGCGCTGATAGATGGGCTCAAAGGTAACCAGTGGGAGCTAGTTACGAGTCAGTCTTCTGTTGAGCTCAATCGTTCAATTCAGCTGTTCTATCCTTATAGCATCCTATCTCTCTCCCTCCCACGTAGTCCGGAGTTTGGTCAGTTCAGACAAAAGTACTGATACTATCCAACCTGCAAGAGGTAAACACTAGAAATATTGCAGTATCGTCGGTAGGCTCTGATTTTACAGAAGGCTACGCCTATTCTCCCCTGGACATACGTGCGGATCATGTTCCCATTGGTTGGTGGACCGCCACTCACGAAACAGAAGCAAAGGCTTGAAGCCAATGTTTCCTTCGAAGCCACACAAAACCCGTCTGGATGAGAAGAGAGAGAATATCTGCTATAAAGAAAATCACGTGTGGTCCAAGAAAACTGGAACAGATGGACACTAAAAAACGATCAGGGTGTGGCGAATGGTCGTCTCAATGGGCTTTCTTGAAGCCACCAGGTTTTTTTATTCAGGATATTGCCCCAGTATCCGCTCCGATGTGGAAACTAGACAATTTGAGAGGTACTGAACAGATGGTGCATCAGTCTGATCACATTCTGCTGGTCCACTGGTCAACCAGTCATCACCATGGCAATTTCAAAATCAACTAAAGTGCACCTTCGAATGCCTGGATGGTAAGCGAAGCTACTCAGTGTCATATGGCTCTACTCTGTTGGAAACCTGTTGCCTATTGGCTAGTCCTACGTGCCCACGCCGTTGCAGAGTGAGCACTGACTGGTTTGTTAGTTTAAGCGTACTAAAAAGATTGCACCTCGGACAAGACGGCAACTGGTGTAACGGTGATACTACTGATGGGAGGGCATGTGAGTAGTATGTGTTGTTCGTGGAAATTCGCTTTGCGTCTCTTGCAAAGGGGAGATCTGTTGCGGAATCCGTGGAATGGCTTTGTAACATTTGCTTGGATTTGCGCAATGAATGATTGGAGTCAGTGAATATACAGGAAAGTTCAAGAAGACGCGTTCACCAGAAGATGGATGTCCAGTTTTTGTAAATACGATACAAATGAGAGTTTTGCTTTCCTGTCCAGTAGTCTGTAACCAGTTGGTTGGCATTTTCTAATAAATGACTCCGCAGTGAAGGCCTTCTTCCTTTCACTGGCAGTCTTCAGTTGATGAAGAGATCCGGAGAGACGATCAGTCAGAACGTTTGGGGAACGCGAGGAGCGTAAGTTACACGGAACAGCACACTGAGTCTAAAAGTTGCACAATCCAAATTTCACTGGATAAGCTTCGGCAGAAAAACCGACCTCTTTACCTACAACATTCTTTTCTCATTCTTTACAGTTGTAACAAAACGAAATTCCCAAGAACTTCAGAAAGGCAAGACTAGCTTTAAACCCAAAGATCCACAAACCTAGCCAACCTCGAATGCTCGCCCTGAAACGCAGGAACAAGCCGAACATTTGAAAACGTTCCACCAGTCGCGTCATATAGGGCAAGCCACGGTATTCTTGTTTGAAATTGTCAAAATATTGGCGGTTTTTTTGTATGCTAAAAGACACACCAGTCGCTCCAAAGTCACGTGATCCTCCGGGCAATATGGGAAACAAATTCAACTAACTAGGAATCCGTTGGTTTCTAAATTTCCATTTTTGAAGTACATAGTTCCCCATGACTTACTGACATCAGTACACTTAAACCAACTAAGCATGAGTAACATTTTGAGTGACTTGACAAAGGCTACTCACACAGATGCGCCACTTCTTGTTTCGGGGTCTGCATCCTGACGAAAATTTCCAGCAGAACCATTACTGAGCTGCTCTTATTCCTCAATATTCCGACCGCCATCCTCTGCAGGGACTGGACCCAAGGGGCTTCTTTTGCTTACATAGCAAAACAGATTGATTGAATGTGCAAACTTGCTGGTTTTTTTAGCGGGTTTGCCTGCGTGCAAACAAGCACAAAACTCGACCCGTTTTGGAACAGTTGGGGGTTCTCCCAAGTTAAGGAAAACCAATCTAGATACGCTGAAAATTCGACTCAAGGGCACAGTTATTCCCTCAAACTACTTAGTGTTCTAAGGGAAATTAAGTTGGACGCACGCTGTCTGTCTTTGCTACCTCTAAAGTTAATTGGTTTCCCTACCAAAAGGCGAGATCATTCTCTCGTTCCCTCAAACAAAGATTTTCTAACAACCCCCATAAGTAGTTTTCCGTCAATTGAATTTAATCGATTTTTTTGCGAGGTTTCTTATCAGTAGTAGTAGGTTTGTGCTTCAGTGAAAATGAACTATTGAGGTTGATGAAAAGGGCTAGCCTACAAACAAAAGAGTACCGTTCGTCTCCTCACTGCTTCGAAGTTCGGTCGAACAGAAAGTTACCAGAGTGTGGGTGTGAATTTTTTCAACCCTAATGTTGAGACCTGAATAGCAAAAATCGTGGACGCACGCACGCACGCACACGCAAGCCTTCTAAAAACACCTGCAACTAATCATATTTTCCCACTCATGTCGGACTTTTGTCGAATTCCATTTGAGTTGTGACTTATTTAGTTTTTTCCGTTACAAACACACACGGGCTATGTTTGTGAACTGTAAACTGATCCGTACAAAAGCGGTGTGTTATTTGAGTTCAAATCATCGCTAGCTGTAAATTTGGTTACCATAGCTACGGTAAAATTATCTGTTAGAAAGTCGGGCATAGTGAAAAGCGTTAATTAAGTAGTGTGAACTACACTTTGTGAGTGATTGGTTCAGTGTCGGAATCTCAGCTAAATGAAAGCGTACATTTTCCAATGGAGACTTCATCCTGTCACGGAAGCCAATCTATGCTGAAAACCCGAGAAGCACTTCACAGCTGTTTCATCCTTTTTGAGAATCATCAGCACCCCACGAAAGTCGGACAGGTTCGAACCCACAGCCTTTCGGCCAGTGGTTGAACACTTAACCGTTTGGCCACGAGTGACTGGCTAGTAATGTGATGAGCTCTCGGTTAGACAGGACATAGCATCAGTCATCATTTACTGACGGAAACCACATCACGTGGTCCTGTATTGACTGGCCAATCGAGTGATGACTTCTCAGAATGCAGTTTCACACATCCTGTCAAGCCAGCCTTACTCTGAGCTGCTTATTGATTCATATGCAGTTAACAGTAGATCCAAGTTTGGAACAATCGATCAACGATCATCACCATCGCAAGTGTGTATTTCGGCAATGGGCACAACAAAAAGTGATTCGCGATAGGTTGAAAATGCCCTTCTTCCATAACGAAGTAATTGTACCTTAAATTTTCAAAGCTGGTGGCCTGTGATCGATCGTAAATTGTGGTAAGAATGGTGATCGATATATTGACTAGCAACTGGCAGTCGGGAAAACTATACTGCGTTGGAATAATGGTGAATATATTTCATTTGGAAACCGTAATGAATTGTCGTAGTTGACAATAACGAACAAGCGTGACTTATGGCTTCGCAGATATATAGGTTACACACACTATTACACACTGCTTTCATGCTGTCCATGATGATGATGATGATGAATCGGATGATGATGATGATTCGGATGATGATGATGATGATTGGGATGATGATGAAGATGACGATGATGATGACGGTGATTCGGATGATGATGATGATTCGGACGATGATGATGATGACGATAATGATGATAGTAAATCGGATGACGATGATGATGATGATGATGATGATTCGGATGATGATGATTCGGATGATGATGATGATGATGATGATGATGATGATGATGATGATGAT